AATATATATGAAACCTTTTTTTCGAGTTCCGTTGCTGAAACGCGACATATTCTATATTACTCAAAAAATGAGTGCAACAGATAGTCAACAATTTTCTCCTTAATGAGAAACACTGTATATACCTAACCCATCAGGCACCTACCCCGGTTGCAACGAGGGTTTACCGATGCCAAGGGTTGATACTCTCCCCTCGTGAGGGTACCGGTCGTGTCTCCATTGAGACATACAGGTGACTATCGAAAAATTTACTATGATATATCGCCTTCCATAACGGTAATAAAATTTGGAAAAAATATTCGAATTGAATTGAATATAATTCGTAACATGAATGTGTTTCCCCTTCTGTTTCCCCTTCTGTGCATTTTCTTCATCGGTTGATAACACGTCGCTTCTTCGATCAAAAACATAGTTGATATTAGATCTCAAATTCAAAATTCATAGAAAATTGAAAGAATAAATGTTACATGGAATAAGAAACTGAAATATATATGAAAACTTTTTTTCGAGTTCCGTTGCTGAAACGCGACATATTCTATTATTACTCAAAAAATGAGTACAACAGATAGTCAACAATTTTCTCCTTAGTGAGTAACACTGTATATACCTAACCTAAATTTGATTCGAATTGTTTCTTGAAACGTTGCATAGCAACATACTTTTTCTGCCTGTAGGTAGTACTTTCCTGCCATGGCAGAGAAAATACAACTTTCGTGCCGGTCAAGTGTTATTAAAAAGACACTTTTATGTCATTTGGAGAAAAAATATATTTCATGTATAACTTTTAAACGATTGTCATGTTATCAATGATATTCTGGCAACTAAATATGCTCATTTCGATATGTGAACGGGTGTTCAGTGATAATGTTTTATACAGGATGGGACGAATTTTTTCCGATTAATGAAGGCATTTTTGACAGAGGTGACAAATTTGACATTTTGCTTCTACCGTTTGATTCCAAATAGTACCGGATGTGTCTCAAAAGTGGCTCACCCCTATAACTTTTTTGTGTCTACAGATTAACAAATGAAATTCGTTATGTAAGTATAGTACGTGAATATGCATTATTTCACTCAATCAATTGTTTTCTGTCACTTCCTGTTTAGCCGGAAATGACCCTTATTTTTTTATTTTAAATGGGACATCCGGTATAGTTTTACTCATTTCGATAGAGAATAACATTGTGAGTATAACGACATAATATTTGCAACTTTTTGACATTCATCATCCTGAAATTTTCATTTTCCAATTTTCTGGCCAAACCGGAAGTGACAGAATACAATTGAATATGTTCAATAACGCATATTTATGAACCATACTTACACACCGAATTTCATTTGTTTACCTGTAGAAACAAACAAGTTATACGGGTGAGCAACTTTTGAGAAACACCCGTTATACTTTATTTCAATCGGTATCTTGTACCGTTGTAGAGAATATCGCCTTTTAAAAACATGTTTCCCAACCGTTTCAAAGGGAACAGAAACTCTATTCACCCAATAACATCATGGTAGTTGCAGTCATTGTCATAATTGACGTCAAATTATTTTGACAGTATTTAATTCTTCAGTAACACCATGTAAGAGTTTAGTAATGATGAGTATGCATATGTATGGACTTGCAGAAACTTTCAAGGTCAAAAACTCCGTAACAGAGTGCGATAGACATTCTTTTTCATATGAAGTACTCACATTATTTTGACTCACTCTATCAGCCTTATCATTTACGACATGACCTTTCCAGACACCCTGTATATATTGATTGAATTTGAAAGAATGCCGGAATGAAAACAACATTCGACGGCTTCAACTGTTCTTTCAAATAATTATTCCTATAATTTTCGACTGTATACAAAGCCTATGTGTAATAATATCAAATAAAATAGTTATGGTTTCATGAGATTTATCACCTTAATCATGTTCATATCTATAGCGTGTTTGAATTCCAAGATATCGGCTGATGCTTTTTTTAAATGGGACACCCTGTATATCATTGCATTTTTAGTTTCTCCCTGAAGAGTTGATTTCATCAATATATCACACTTGGTTTCTAGCGGAAATGATTACATATCGGAAACTAATCAATATTGGTCAAAATGGCTTATATGTCCCTATCTCAACTTTGGATTTACTATCTACTGACATTTGATTGGAAATGTCAGAAGATAGTAAATCAAAAGTTGAGATAGGGAAATGTAAGCCGTTCTGAAAAATAATGATAGTTTCGGTACAAAAAATCATAAATTTAAAAAAATCTCGATTTTGAACACCCTATATCTCTGTAATCATTCCCGCTAACCTCAAGTGTGAGATATATTGATGAATTCAGCTCTTCAGGAAATCATCAGCCGATATCTTGGAATTCGCACTCTCTATATAAAAATAATTTTAGGTGATAGTTCTCATAAAACCCTATGACTGTTAAATTTGAATGTTTTCTATATATCTGACGGTTTGGCTAATATCGAAGGAGAACACACTATTGACACACCCTGTACCCTCAGTACCGAAGTATAAATTCTTGTCAACATTCTGAATTTCAATATGATGTGTTGTCATACTGACAATAATTATGGTATACAAACAATATTATCTACAGAAATCGTTCAAACCTCGATTCATAGGTATACCAAATTTCGAATAGTTTCGTATACTTATAAATAAGTCTAACTCATTTCAATACCTACTTTTAGTACCTCTGTGTAAGTTAACACAGAAAATTATTTATTTCTAAATGAATTCGACATTTTTGAATATTCCCCTGTATAAATAGGTGAAGAAACGAATTTGAAATTTCGTTTTATTGTCATACGGAAATATACAGAAGCAAAATACCAACCACGTGATGAATGCCTCCATATATACTATACAAAAACACTTACCATCTTGAAAAAACACAACTTTCACACACTCCAATGAAAATACAATCACTAAACCGAATATGAATTCCAATTTTCCACTCTTAAACACTTCGATTTCTTTTTTATTACCACTTGAATCAACCGCACGCAATGAAGTCTAGAACGAGACTGCTGATTTATTGGATTCATTATCGAAATGACTAATTAGTTACGTCATTCTTTCAACCGATTAACTCCCGAACAAGTATGACTAATTCTGATATCGATAGTAGGTATACGAGGTGGCGTGAAAAAAATTTGAGGATATTTTCTTCCATTTTCTTATCTATACGAGGTGTTTTGAAATGAGTTCATACATTCAGAAAATCAATAAAATATAGGCTAACGATTATTCCTATGATATCAGATTTTTGCTAATTCTTCTAATTCACGAGAAATTTGATCTTGGAAACTGAATAAAAATCGGGGAAAAACAAATATGCCACCTCAAGGTCATTTAAATGTTTGAACTCCACGAAAATGTGTACAGAGGTGACTTCAGAATTGCTACAGTGTGGAACTTTGGGTGGAAAAAGGTTTTCTATAGAGATCAATAGTATTTGTCGAAATTTTGTAGGGTTTGAAATATATGTATTTATTTCAATGTCACTTGTCACCCTGTGTATTAGGCTTACTTAGGTCAGATTTTTTAGAAATTGTGGTCTCCTTTTTTACGCAGGAAGGATATTTTCCTTCTGTATATATATATTCGATTTTTTCATTTGACTTGGCCGTTACTTGATGGAAATCCATGGCAGATGTAAAAACTTCACAAACGATAAGATTTCCACAAAATTCTTAAACACACAACATGTTTCGCTAACACAGTAGCTTCGTCAGGTGATATACTGGTACAATGAACTAAACCAACCTGGGCTTAAGGCTTTATATCCTATTCTCCCAACTTGAAGGATTAGTTACCTGTGGACAAGTTTGATGAACCTTCATTTTCGGAAATTAGGCAAAATATCTACATTAAAATACGGTGTACCGGATTAACTTGAAAGGGTTGATAGCAAATACATGTGTATTTGGAGTTTGGTCAGGGAGTTTTATTCTGGTCCACTAATAGCATGGCGTCAGCCCACCGTGATGATTTGTATAGTGATTTAGGCTTTCAAGGATGTTTTTCCTTCCTCTCAAGACCCCGAGGGGTTTTCTACAAGCGAATGCGCATGCGTGCATAATGTATCACGTGATTCACTGTGACCAATGTGAAAATGAGGTTTGGGAATGGTTTGAAAACTATAGGCTCTCGTATTTTTAGCAACGCTAACTTGTCTCCACTAGAGTGGCTTCAAGAATAATAATCAAAATTATAGAATTTTGAGCTATTTCGGATCATCAACTGAGAAAGTAGCTTCATTTCTACATAAACAGGACTTGAAAGTGGCATATAGAACAAATTACACGTTGGGACGGTTTATCAAGAATAATAAAGACAAAACTTCTAAATTCGAAAAATCAGGGGTATACAAACTGTGGATCTTGTCCTAAGGTATATACGGTCAGACAGGTCGTACGTTTAATCAGCGCATTCGTGAACATAAGATGAATTATATGAAAAAGAAAACAAATTCAACATACGCCAACCATATATTAAAAGAAAACCATAGTTTTGATGATAATTTCGAAATTCTACACGTAGAAAATAAAGGGCTGAAACTCAATCATTTTGAATCATTAGAAATCAACAAACTCAAAAATTTTTACATTTTACCTAATGATCAATTCGACCTCAATAGTTTACCACTGTTGAATTTGTATTCTTAGTAAGTAATAATATGTATTTGCTATCAACTCTTTCAAGTTAATCCGGTATACCGTATTTTAATGTAGATATTGTGCCTAATTTCCAAAAATGAAGGTTTATCGTACCTGTCCACAGGCACAGGTAACTAATCCTTTAGGTTGGGAAAGTAGGATATATAAAAGTCAAGCAAGCCAACGTTGGTGTAGTTCATTGTACCTGTATATCACCTGACGAAGCTACTGTGTTAGCGAAACATGTCGTGTGTATGAGAATTTTGTGGAAATCTTATCGTTTGTGAAGTTTTTACAAAGTCACTCTAGTCTCAACTCGTTCATCTTCTTTGTTTTCAGGCCGCCGACATCGATATGCGCTCGGAGCTGTACAAGCACATCGTCCTGTCGGGAGGCTCCACGATGTATCCGGGCCTGCCTTCGAGGCTCGAGCGGGAGATAAAGCAGCTCTATCTGGAGCGAGTGCTGAAGAACGACATCGAGAAGCTGAGCAAGTTCAAGATCAGGATCGAGGACCCGCCGAGGCGCAAAGACATGGTGTTCATAGGTGAGGATGTTGAAATGGCGCTGTTTCAGTGAAAAATTTTACTACTAACCCTAACTGGTTCACTGTCGCAAACCTTGTTTCCCCAGAGCTCTATTCGCGGTAATCAATGTTACCAGGTGGCGCTCTGTTTTCTACGTTCCATGTCAAAGCCACGTCAAAACTGGGGGAAAACAAACTCAATCCCATTAGTGCCATTAGCTTGTGCACTGTTTGTTTTCAAATTTCTCAACATTAATTGTCAATATTCGATCGAAAACGCTAATAATGCCTATTGTAGATGTTCTTCTGGCAGATATTTTGCTCTATTTAGATGTAAAAAGCCGACCAGTAGTGGAAGGAGAAGCATTTCTCCATGCTAATCATGTGATTTTGTGTGAGGCAGAAGACTTCAACAAAAGGCACATTTTTGCACTTTGTCTACAAACTTCGGCGATGCAATCTTCCCCACATGAAAATTGAAGTTGGGGTCCAGCGGAACTCCTGTAGAACAATCGATTTGTATTTGTTCCTGCAAAGCAGGACAATCTGGGTATTGTAAAGATGTTGTAGCTGTTATTTTATATGTCAATTGATTTGCTCGTCATAATTAGTTTGACTGGTTTGAACTATCTCCAATTCTTCACCCGTTCACTGTTCACTTAACTAATAAAAATGTAATAACGTAAAAAATTAACCAACTCAACCATCATCACCACCAACAGTGCCAACACTTTATGTCATTGACAAGTTTGACAACTACAGCTACAGCAAGTAGTCTATGCACTTTATCCATAGACAACAGTTTGTTTTCCCCCAGTTTGGAGTTCGTATTATGTAACCTAGATGTCGCCCACTTCGTGAATCTCGCGAATACATTTTTTAAAACACGTGCTAGCTGCTTGCCCCATCAATTTTATTGATATTTTATGAAAAACAATAGTATGCGCTCTCAGGGCACGGGGCCCTTCATTTATTGAGAACCCGTTTTTTCAGTAACTTTGGAATTTTTTTTATCGCTTGGAGCGCACGAAAGGGAATCCCTATAATGTTCAAAGAACATCGTGGCTATGGGCATTGACAATTCAAGAAATAGTAGCATCAAAAAATGTTTTCAACACCAAGTAAGTAAAGCACAAAATAGGTAATTCATTCACTCAAATGTTATTTGTTTTTGTATTGTAGATCTTTCAATTAGGCTGAAGATGGTCTTTTATAAGACCGAAACATGTCCCTTATGATTATGTAACAATATCATTGGAATTTGTGGAGATGACTTCGAGCATTCCTTCCTTCCTGTGAAATATTTCACTCCACTTTGAGCAATATGGACTTCTACCAAAGATTTTTTAAATAATTATTGAAATTCACAATATATCGCTTTCAAGTTTCAATATATTCTTCCTTAAAATGCCTCTGAAGCTTGAATTGGAATGTAATGGTATTTGATATTTATTTGAGAGCTTCAACGTGAGTGAACTGAGTGAAGCCGCGGGTAAAAGCTAACAGATTCCTTGTAAAAAAAGTGCCTCAAGAATGTCTCAGTCAGAATCGTCTAGGTCTTCTGGTTTCAGCTGGAAAAAATTTAAACGAAAATTATAAATCTTCGTTTTCTTCCAATAATTCAAAAACTAAAAATGACACATCAAATTTTCTTGCAGATGAACGTTCAGCATAAAAATGCACAACTTTTCCCTAATTCAACTGACCTCGTATCTCTTATAATAACTGAGATTCCCATAGTGGAGCTCGAAAAAGGGACGCCCTGTATATATTGTGTTGTCCCAATTCAAGTAAACAATATTTCTATTCAAAACGTTTACTTCTTGAATTCTCCAGACATACAAAATCTTCAGGGGGGATACTAGGCAATGGTCAAAAGGTACATACTCCAATAACTCCAATAAACAACAATACAAACCACCACCACATCTAACTACGTTATTAATTTTTATCAAAAATTAATAAGTACAGTACAGTTATTACAGTTTCAGCCACCGGCTTCTCACTGACTCTAACTCTAACCCTAACTTCACTTACTACCATCCAACGCGCGCGAGAAATTCCCGTCACTTGCCACTTGTCACTAATACCAATCTCACTCTTACTCGAAATGGACACGTGAACAAAACATAGTAATTATCTAATATAAGCAATCCAACAAAAGTTAGAGTGACCAAAACGGACACATCACAATATGTTCCATGAGATGATCAGTGGCGGCTCGTGACTTTCATGACAGAGGAGGCTGAATGATATGGGATTTATTGTGAAAAACAACTCTCTACTCACCCAAATCAATAGCTTTAATGACATTCTGTTTACCAGTTAACCTGAACTTAATACTTGAAGAGATGTGTACCTTTGATTCGCAGTGTCTATCCAATCCAAGAGCCAAATTTTTCAAATCATTATAAATATTATATCCTAATCGCCCCCAACATGATGACTTATCGGTTGAAAATAATACGCAGTACCAACAAAATATCTTATTCCTTACCTCAGTTCCCGTCAACCAGATATATTTTTTATAATTATCAGAATTGAACGAACGATTTTGTTTGTTACCTGTTACAATCAGATTTTTTAATTCCGGTGTCGGACGTTTTTTTTTTCACAATCAATTTATCTTTATAAGACAGCACTGAATGGGTTCACCAAAAAGTATTCCACTAAATTGCAATCGTTTAAAACACTCATTTTTCAGAAATTCATAGAGCCCCTAACCATTAACCCAACATAAACATAAACAATGCCCGCAATTCGCGACGCGACACGACAAAAATGTGCTATTCGGGCATTTGCATTGCGCGAGTGGGTTGCGCTCAAGGTTGCGCTTGCGCATTGTGAAAGGAGTCTAGCCTCCTATAGATGTTGCCAAGTTGAATATTTTACGCGTGATTTGCAGACTTCAACGTGTGATGCGTGGGCAAGCACTGTTGACAATTCAAAAATATTTACCTGAAAACAGGAAATAAAATCAAAATCCATGTATTTTGGTGTCCTTTTAATGATAAAGTATAGATAATATCAGTTCAAGGAAAATCTCTGAGGAGGCTCAGCCTCCGTTGCCTCCTCTGAGGAGCCGCCACTGGAGATGATAAATTTTCAAGTTCCACAAACATAGAGATGATGTTTTGATTTTTTATTGAAGATTAAAACATTTTCCTTTTTTATTCCTAATTGTTGTTTTATCTTTTGTTTGTAGGGGGCGCGGTATTGGCGGAGGTGATGAAGGATAGGGACGCATTTTGGCTGTCGAAGCAGGAGTACGAGGAACAGGGGCTGAAGGTGCTGAAAAAGTTGGGCGCCAGGGTCGTGTGAGGGGTGATTTTGAAAAGTATTGATGTAATTTTAATTTTATTGTATCCTTTTTATATTTGTATTCCCGCCAGAGAGGGAAGGGGCATTCCGAAAAAAAAAACAATATCGTAAGATTGATATTTCCGCGATTGTCCTAACTCGGGTTACTTGAACATAACCTGCTGATTGTTTAAATAAATGATTATTTTATATTTGAAGATGATGAATTGGAAATCCTGATTTCTCATTATCACAATGTTTTTACATGAAGAAAATAGAGTTCCTCTATTTATCAAAGAAATACTGTGTCATTACTGGAATAGTAACGGAATAAATGACTGATGAAATACAAAAATGATACCACAAACCACACAATATTTTGGGTATATTTTTGTATTCGATTAGTTAACCACAAAACCTCATTTTACTCTGGAGAAAATCATCAGACAAAATAGAGAAGTTCAGTTAGTGTGGAGAATGAAAAAATTAGTCTACCCCATCTGTCTTTGTCTTCAGTGTTCCAACGTAAAATAATGAAAAGTTTATGAAAAAGGTTAGAATGGTCTTCTTCTCCATTTAAACTCATTACCGGTGGTGCCAACATAACATTTTCATAATTTTACGGAGGAATACTGAAGACAAGGACAGACGGGAAAGACATGAGAGTGAGTAGATTGAATAGAGTGACGACAATAGACCTCCAAATGGATGCTAATGCTAATCTTGGTCAAGGCACTGAATAGCTGAAAATCTGAAGGGTAACTCCCATGCAATAATGAATTTGCTCCTTTGAAGTGCCCACCTGATGTTAGGTTTAGATATCTAATATTTTCAGTTCATCATCTAAATAATCTGAGACTTACGAGTCCCTAAACACGGATTCTAATAGTTAATATCCAAAATACTGACGGATATAGTTGCATGTCTGATTGTTGAATGTTTTGTGACCAAACAGCAAAAAACAGAGACACAGCATTGACGAAGTGGAATAGAACGGGTAGAACAAGGCAGGCAGGCTCCATATCAAAGTTCTGACCAATCATAAAGAGTACTATTATTGTCGTCACTCTATTTATAAAGTCACTCTAGTCTTCCTCATTTGTCCTTGTCTTCAGTGTTTTAACGTAAAATACTGAAATTTCTTATTGGCAACACTGGCACTGAGAAGAAATGGAGAAGATCATGCTAACCTCAATATAAAAAGGTTAGAATGGTCTTCTTCTCATGTTCAGTGGTGCCAACATAAAATTTCCATTATTTCACGTTGGAACACTGAAGACAAGGACATATGGGGAAGACATATTTTTTGTTCTCTCCCAAGGCTAGCTGAACTTCTCTATTGAAATGTCTTCGGAGCACATGATACAGGTCTTTAATTATTTTGAAGCTTATATAGACTTGTTTTCTATAAACTTGTAAGAACCTGAATCTTTTGACGTATTTCCATCATGTGATCCATGGGTGTTAGCCCACTGCGTTTATTACCAGCGAAAGCACTTGCGTACGAAACGTATCACGTGATTCATTGTGGCCAATAAGGACTCGGATATGGGGATACGTCGAATGAATTAAGTTTCTCGATATAGAAACCTATAATCCAGCGAAAGCGCTTGCGTACGAAACGTATCACGTGATTCATTGTGGCCAATAAGGACTCGGATATGGGGATACGTCGAATGAATTAAGTTTCTCGATATAGGAACCTATACTCATGTAGATTTTCCAGAATAAACTTTAGTACTGATACCAAATTTGATACCCTCTGAATTGATAGATACAGGGAGCCATTGAAGCAAAATTAATAATTAGTTGAGAGATATAATTCGCAAAAAAGTTGTAGGTAAAATACAAAACCTATTTTATCCACATACTTTTCCATTTTTATTGATTATACATTTTTTTTATTGAAGAAATTGTCTTCTATTATAATTAATTATTAATAGACTTGAGGCCGATTGCATAAACCTGTCTGTTAACAGTTAACACAGTAACATTTAGCTATAGTTAACTGTGACAGGGAGGTCTATGCATCTGACCATAATGTTTTTAATTGAAAAAGTCTCATATAAATTGTTGAGTAGGTCTCCGAAAATAATCGCATTATTTGCGCAATATTAAATTATTCAAATTGAAATTTCGAGTATCATTCAGTTATTTCCGGCATTCACAGACCCTTATTCCATTATGTTGAAAATTTCACACCTAAAATTTTCGACCATTTTTTCCACAAAATCAATTATCGATCACCAAAGTAGCCTTTTGCGCACTAGATACGAGAATAACTATTGTGTAACTAAAGGCAGTATTTCGTATTTTATCTAACATCTTAATCTAGTACTTTTTTTATGTCGGTGTGAAATTTTCTTGCAGAATACCACTCTAGACGAGGGAGTATTTTCAAAATATTCGTTTTCTCAAAAAATATTCCGGTAATAATAATAATTGAAGCTCTGCTGGTATTAAAAGTGGAAATTTAATGGTTTCATGTTTCACAAAACTTATCTCCGTACGCTACTGGAGTATTGACAAAGTTAAATTTATGGTTAGGATCTAAAATAAGAAGATACATGCTCGATGTCGAAAAGCCACAAAGCTTCAGAGCTAACCAAACAAATGAGAAGATCATCTGTCTCTTTCTCTCTTTGACAGTGACAGAAAGCAAAAAATACTCCCAAAGCAATGCATTTTTCATGTTGTGATAACACTAATCTAATTAGGAATATTAAAACCTTGATCTCGTCCGATGGACGTTTTCAATAATAATTTCCCGATCAGTTGAAAGATGTCATGAGTTCCTCTGCCGAAGAGTTCATGCTAGGAAGACAAAGGTGTCGACAATGGGTACCTTTGATAACACAACAAGTAAGTATGCATAGTTAAAACCAGATTAGGAGACAAGTTCCTACACTATCTATGGTTTCAGTTCCGTTTGCGTCACGTTTACCAAATAGTAGGCCTCAACCTTCCTGCAGAGCCCATAGGTAGCTTCTACTTTACCCTACACTCCACAACTATGAGTGCCCCTTTTTATACTAGTGAGCAAGTCAGCGGGTCGAATCCCAAATGGGAAGAGTTGAACTTGCAAGACATGCCCAACACTTCTGCTTCCTGTGTGGTCCTGCGGATATGGCAGCACAGCACTGATGGGGCTGATGTGATTGTCCTCACTTGGGGTGTGAACTTTTCAGGGCTTTGCTACATAGGGAATAAAACCACTGACATACAGCCTGTATACTTTAAGGGAAATTCTGTGATATTTTGCATGCAAGGAGGGTTTTATACTAGTCATGAAGTTGTAAATATGGATTCCAAGAAGCCAATACCATTCTTGAGCAACCTCAATCTGATTGATACATCAAATGGTAATAAAGTCATTTATAGAAGGATAGCTATAAAGTCAAATAGGCACGAAGTGCAAAGTAGCTATAATGAGGGAAAGCTGAGAAGGTTACATAGATTACAAGTGGACATTAGGAACAAGAGCTTGGAAGTTGGTAATCTTAGAGATAAAATAAGTAGGTTGAATGGATTTAGTATTCAAAGAGATGGGTCTACTGTGGAATCTAGCTCTAGTACTATTAGATATGCCCCACAACTCCTAACCATGAATTCACTCTACAAAATGATGCAGGTATGTATTACAATTCATCACTTTACCTAATATATCTATGTAGGAAGGTTTGTTACCTAACCCTTGTTATTTCTCATAGGAGAAACCAACAATTGTTCAGAAACAAGAAATGACAAGAATTGGGAAAGAAATTGAAACTGCAAAATTCAGGACTAGGTTACTTTCCCAGGAAAAAGATAAAAAGACTGTGATTATTAGATCCTTGAGGCAAAACCATACAGCAATGGTTGAGGAGAATGAAGAAAGAAGTGAGTTTTCACATGATTATGAAGAAATAAAATATTTAGATGTTACAAAATTCTTTGGTCTTTTTGTTGATGAACAATTATCATGGACTAAACATATAGATCACCTGAGAATAAAGCTGGATTCAGTTACTGGCATTCTATACAAAATTTTAAATTTCATTCCTCTTAGATATTTGAATAATATATAGTTCTGTCTGATTTACTCAAAATTACAATATTTAATATCAATTTGGGGAAGCACAAGTATATCACATTTGAAACCATTAATAAAATTACAAAATTAAACAATTGAGTGCATTTACAATTTACAATGCCTGTAACCAACTATTATTCTTTACAAATCAAAAAAATCTGTTGAATTCATCATTTTTATAGAAAATGGAAATTTGTTCTTTTATTCATTTTGTGATGAAGAAAAAATGAAAACATCCAACTTGAACTTTACTGAAGTAATTTCAATTCATACTCATTACCTTATGATTTGAAACATATTGATGATGAAACAAGATTCAAAGTCAGTATGAGAAAATATATACTCATGACACTATAAAAGGAGCAATTTATTCTCATTTGAATACTTGGAATGATTTTATTTTAATTATTATGGTATATTGACATAACATGTTAATTAGTTTTTTTTTTATTGTTATAGATATACAGGGTGTCTGTAAAAGGTCTTTACAAAAACATACCACATATTCCTTAGACCAAAATAAGTCGATTTAAGTAAAATTACCTCAGTACAAAGTTGCATCGTTTGGGCTCCAGAGGGCCTTGAAGTTACAATTTTTGAATCGTTTTTCCCATATAAATTTAAAACGGCATATGCGATTTTGCTGAAATTCGGTATATTGATAGAGTTTTATGTGGCAAAAAAAATTGTGTTAAAATTTTGTCCAATAATAATACATAGGCGTAGAACTTGATTTTTTAAATAATTGCACCTTTAAAAATTCTACGCCAATGGAAGAAAAGGAGTTTGAGTATGAAATTTAGATTGCGCAACTCATTTACTTTAAAAAAGGTACTCTCATGGTTTTGACGAAATTTGCATTTTAGTAATTTTAGAACATAAACAATAATTATTAAAATACAAACTTTGTCAAAACCATGAGAGTAAATCAAGTGTTATCAAGGGTACTTTTTTGTAGTAAATGAGAATCCAAGAATAAATATTTTTGTGAAACTTATACACTCTAAATTATTAAAACAGAAATTTAGCAAAAACCATGAGAGTAATCGAGTCTTATCAAGAATACCTTATTTAAAGTAAATGAGTTGCGCAATCTAAATTTCCTACTCAAACTCCTTTTATTCCATTGGCGTAGAATTGTTAAAGGTGCAATTATTAAAAAAAAATCAAGTTCTACGCCTATGGATTGATTAATTAATTAAATTAAAAATTTAACACCATATTTTTGACACATAAAACTATCAATATACCAAATTTCAGCAAAATCGCTTATGCCGTTTTAAATTTATATGGGAAAAACGATTTAAAATCGACTTATTTTGGTCTAAGGAATATGTGGTATGTTTCTGTGAAGACCTTTTACAGACACACTGTATATATCATATTTGTTTATATATCCCTATTATAAACACATATGTTTCTTGGAGTAATAAAGAACAACTACAACAATTATATTCGGGATCTCTCAAATATGAATTTTTTACTTATTGAAAATGGATATTCCTAGTTGTGTTATTTTAGATTCTGATTTGATGGAAAATTACCATAAACTAAGCAGAGGGTCTGAGAAGCTGAAAGAGTATAAGAAAAACCTCTTTCACCACAGGGAATTATATTCCAACTTCAATTCCCAACTACAACAAAGAAGGAAAAAACTTTTGAGAGAACTGCTATTTATATACCCCATAGATAAGATGGAAAATGATAGGTATAGCATTTTCAAGATTTATTTACCAAATTCTGATATTTTGGCAGGTATGTAACAGCACATCAAATTGTTATCATTGGTTTCATAAATTTTAAGATTCTGAAAAGGACCCATTTACTGAATGTAAATACTCCTTTTTATAGATTGTTTTGTAAATTGGTTTTAATATGATGGAATAATATCACCTTAAACATATTTTTAAAGGTTGTATTTTGTTTCAGACTGTTCTGATACTGGTTTAGCTGTAGCTCTAGGTTATGTTGCCCATATATTGATAATGTGTTCTACATTCCTTCAAGTACCATTGAGGTATTCTGTCACACATTATGGTTCCAGGTCTGTCATAACAGATCATGTCTCACCATTGCTACCAGATAAAGATAGAGAGTAAGTGCAAATTCTTAAATCTACTGTGTACAGGGTGTCCCAGGATACATGCCATGATTTCATTTTTTTTTCAATAGCACAGTTGAAGAATTCATTTAATGCAAATTTTCGGAAAAAATTGCCGGAAATTGAGAAAACTTGGAAAACAAAAGGTTGAAGGATTTTGTCAATCACACAAAAATCTACCATAGAATGTTCCTCACAGAATGTTCCTTACAGAATGTTCCTTACAGAATGTTCCTTACAGAATGTTCCATTCAGAATGTCCCAGATTATTATAGAATGTTTTATAATTGTTCTAAAAATTGTTGTTCTAAAATTTTTCAGAATATTTTGTACTGCTCAAGAATGTTCTAAAATGTTCCAAGGTGAACAAGAATATTTTCTAGTATCTTCTAGAAAATTTGATAATATTCAAAAATGTTCCAGAAATTCCAGAATTTTTCCAAATGATCGAGAATTTTATAGAATATTCCAGAAGTTTCTTGAATATTCCAGAAGATTCTTGAAGATTCCAGAATATTTTAGGAACTCCAGAATGTTGGAGGATGGCGAGGGGTGATCCACTGGGTTGAAAAATGTACGGGTATTGCCAAATCGGCAATACTTTAGGAAATATTGCCTATATTTCCAGTATTTCCTGTTATTGCTGGCAATAAAACCAGTATTGCTCGTATTTCCAGTCTATTGCCTATATTCCCTATGATTCCTAGAATATTGCTTTTATGCCTGACTATTGCTTGTATTTCCTGAATATTTCCTGTATTTCCTGAACATTTCCTGTATTTCCTATAGATAATTTCTGTATTCCCAGAATTATTCTGAAGGGATCATCTACTTTGAACACTAAGAAAATGTGAAGAAAGAAACATTATTGTTCCATACAATTTTTTCAAGGTTTTTCGCTCATTATCTCTGAATTTATTAGAAGAATACTCTTCAAATTTGGAAAGAAGAATAATATAAGTAGTCATAAAACTGCAAATCGATGAATAAATTTGTTTCTGTGATCAACCAGCACAATCAAAAGAAATGAGAATATAGTTGGTCTGACCGTTAGGTATTTGAAATGATGTACAGGGTGTCTCAAACTGAACGCGTTCTCATGGGAACACCGGAACACCCCTTATTAAAGGAGATGAAAAAAAGTTAATCAAGTTGCCCAGAGCACAAATTGAATGAGAATTTCGCCGATTTATTTAATGCCCCATGACTTTCTTATTAATGAAGATAATTAATTTTGGTAAAACCTTTATTTGCGCCAGTGGTTTTCTCACCAAATTTGAGCGCCGACTATCTTATTTTCGAAAATTCTTCATCACAATGACACCTTATTTGTATAAAAATGTATCGAAAATAATTACAATATGAAGACAAATATCGAAGTTGAAATCTGTACGTTTTGGGAACGGTTGTCAACATGAAATGTATTGAATAGAAAGTGAAAAATATATTCTTTATGCAATTAACACATGGAATATTCAAAAATAAAATGAAAATGTTCCTGAATAAAAAAGGTAAACAGATCAACCTAATTATCGTATATGTGGATTCCAATATTTGTAGAAATAAATGTTCTTTTCCATATACAATATTATCACTCTGACTGAACAGTTTTCCTAAAATCCCTATATATTTTTTTGATGGCAACTTCAGTTGTTCGATTCAGCTGAAAAGGTCCAATCCCATTCAAATCTATTGGACCATATATAACAAAATTCGTTTCTATATCTTGAATGTCATCTTTTTTCGGCCAAATATAGGCTTCTAAATTTTTTTGAAGGAACTTCACAGTGCACCAATTGCTGTCATTGAATATTTTTAATATTCTACCAAGGTAGAATTGATTGTCGTAGTATACGGCATAATACTTTTCTTCGGTCAACACTACTCTGTCGGGTGAACTACGAGTTTCATCAGCGGCTCGATCAGCGGTCAATTCTTCGAAACTTTCATTTTCGAATTCGCTTTCGCTTTCAAAATCGAAACTGGTGTCAGTCTCGGTGTCAGTAGCATCAGTATCAGTTTTGTTCGAGGTTCTCTTTTTAATATTCTTAGCACTCAGCGATTTTTTTGATTGTTTTTGATCTATTGTATTTTTCGGAATAATTTTCTTCTTCTGTTTTCGTTTCATTTTATCTTTGGGAGTGGCGAGGGGATTAGATGACGTGGATGAGCCTGTTCCTCTGACCCTATAAATTCTATCACTTGAAAGATCAAAAAAGCTATGTCATACATGATACATGGTGTAGGTACTTTGTATCGTATCATATAATAAAACAAAGTTGATGATGATTCTTCGAAACGAAGCGTTGTATGGAGGTATGTAATATCTCCGGAAGTATACAACAATTTACTGAGATACAGATGCTGTGCATTCTCATCTTGTCCACCATTATAGTCATTTCTATATTATGAACAAGGAACAGGCTGTCAATTCAAAATCCACACAATTGCGTTAAGAAATACTCACAAGACTTCTTAAACTTCACACTATTTTACTATACTCACTATAATATTTTGATTTGGGCTTATAAATTTTGTGAACCCCCTTAACGGTCTTTGAAATTCTGAAATCGTTTAAAAAATATCGAAGTTACAGTAAGAAAGAAGAAATTCATCATATTCTTCCATTCTGTATAGGTACCTACTTGTACTGTAAAAATGTAAATCAAAAGTTTTTTAGGGTTGATACTGGTGGATATAATTAATAATAAATTGAATTGCACAAGGAGATGCGAAATGCACAATGTGTGTAAACACTAATTTCAAAAATACTGCACCTACCAAAATTATACAACATTCCGAATTATAACGGACACTAACTCATTCACTGTTCATACGATTTTTTTTATGTATTCTCAATGAGGCCTATACCGATGCCTGATGTACGTACTCCACAATGAGAAACATGATTCAACCGAAGAACGAGGAACGAGCCAGCACGGCTGGGAATCACCCAAGATATCACACACACGCCACAAAAGAAGACTTGAATCTGATGTATGAAAAAGAATCAATACGTTTTTGCGGATGGATTTCCCTCGAGAATACCCTTGGAATACCATCGGAAATATCCTGTATTTGATATCGTTTCCTGAAAGTATCTTTTCTCGATCGTGAGATATTTACTTCAATACACACATCTGCCCATCACTGTTGTATGGTTTGATAAATATGTTCTAATACACAGAGTGTCTCTAAAAGGTCTGTACAAAATCTTAGCTCGTTCGAAAATAAAAATATATATTTTTTAAATTTATAAACTTTATTTACCATATTACTTTTGATATTGTAGATACCTTTTGGAGACACCCTGTATAAAAATCATGGATAATCAAAACGCAACCATTGAAATATGAATAGGGGGTTCCTTCGAAAAATGTACTTTTTCACTTGCCCTGTATGAAAATGATGAAAAGGTTCACTTACCTTCATATTGAAGATTTGAATAAAAAAATCGAATATGAGAAATCACTTACCTCCTAATTTTCAACAAATATAAAAAACCCAGACTAAATCACCATGCACGGAATGAGGATGTTCGATTCAGGCACTCACAACTTGTTAAAGAGTGATAATAAACAGAATATAGCTCAGGAAAGAGGAGGAATATTCCCATGTATTGCCGGTATTCCCTAAAAATTTCCTGTATTTCCGTCATATTGCCAGTATTTCCAATGTATTTCTTGTATTGCCAAAATATTGCGTGTATTGCCTGAATATTTCTTGTATTTCCTGATAATTGCCAGTATTTCCAGCAAAATGTACAGGTATTCCCACCAGTGGATCACCCCTCGGAGGATGGTGAAGAATGTTTCACAATATTTGTTAATGTTTTACAGAATTTAACAAAAGGACCTTGAACCTCCCAGAATGATATAGAATCTTCCATAAGATTCTACAGGGTTTCAAAATGTTTGAGAATGTTTCCAGATGTTGTAGAATGTTTTTAGAATGTTTCTGAATGTTCCAAGGTGAACGAGAATATTCTAGTATCTTTTAGAAAGTTTAAATTTTCAGAATTCTCTCGAATGTCTGAGGATTTTCGTGTTATATTAATAAAATCTAATCATATAAATTTTTTATTGAATCGTTTTATTTTTTGCCATATCTTCGTAGTAGTTTGAAAAAATCCCATCAAACCCCTGAATTTGTAATAATGAACTCTACTTGAATATGGAATAATATACTGGGTGTCCCTATTCAAATAAGGCAGTTGGTGTGACCCTGTATACCTACGATTTATTCAATAGCATATTTCGAGTAAGCATCATCAAATATACTGGGTGACCAAATTTCAAGTCATTCGATCGCGCGGTTGATTTTTTACAGGGGGGACATTTTAGCTGGGACATGGTGTATACAGTAAATCGAAAACAATTGCTCGCAGCGACTCCTACCAAAAATATATTTTTCACGCAAAAGTTTTCTAGAAATCTATTTTCCTACTATGAAACGTTATACAGGTACGCATAAAAAAGTTATGACTTTTCAGAAGACTCAAAAGACATGTAGGTGGCGCCACCCCCACGAAAGAGACAAACTAACATAAAATTTGATATTTTCATCGAAAAATACCCCTAGATACCAAATTTTATTCCGATATCACAATTATTTTGAAATTTATTAACAAAAAACAAAAATAAGAATTCAACTTCGACACTCTGTATCTCAGAAACGAGTAACTTTAGGACATTTATTTATACGAACTTTTCTTCTTATTTTGACGTCAGCAACATGCTCCTGAATTTTTTACACGCACTTGAGAAACACCCCGCATTCTCCATGTATTTCTTTATACAGTGAGGACCAAAAGTCCGTCGCCCCCCCTGTAACTTCTTTATTCTACATATTACAAAAAAATGTTAAATACATAAGTTGTAGGGTTTCATTCGATCTCTCTAATGGTTTAAGTTTCATTCATACAGAGTGTCTCTAAAAAGCACGGTGACTTAGAAGTTAATTTTTTTAAATGGGACACCCTGTATTTCATTGCATTATTACATTCTACGTTGAATTCTGAACAAGTTTGATAAATGATTTTCTATCAAAAAAGTTAATAGTTTTGGACTTATGAACACTTGTAAATAATTATTTCGACTACTTTTGCGCCAGTTCAATGAGAAAATCGTAACAAATGGATCACAATGTATTCCACTTTCCTATCCTAAGTGTTCATAAGTCCAAAACTATTAACGTAGAATGTAATAATGCAATGAAATACAGGGTGTCCCATTTAAAAAAATTAACTTCTAAGTCACCGTGCTTTTCAGAGACACTCTGTATGAATGAAACTTAAACCATTGAAGAGATCGAATGAAACCCTACAACTTATGTATTTAACATTTTTTTGTAATATGTAGAATAAAGAAGTTACAGGGGGGGCGACGGACTTTTGGTCCTCACGTACAGGGTGTCCCAAAATTAACCTGCCAAACTCCACCAGCGGCTTCTGAGACCAAAAATAGGAAGAAAAGTTTCAATGAATATGAGTCGAAAAATGTCCACTAAGGGAGCTACGGCCCCCAGAGAGGGGGTTCCTGAAGATGATATTTCTTGAATATTTCCGAAACGCCACGTGATAAAATGATGCAATTTGGTACAAGAACTAAACTTACCATGCTCAATGACGTGAAAATAAAATCATTGTAAAGTTTCATTCAGGAGTGTACAATACAGGGTGGGACTACATTAAATATTGCTCAAACTTTTTCGTATGCATATTTTTTGACAATTTAATCTCGGATTATGAAAATCCCACAACGTTTCACGAAAAAATGTGCTCTTGTTCCTCATCGATCAGATGTATCATTTTCGAGTGAAATCGATTTAAAAATATTGATGCACTCACATCTTATGCATAACGTTGCCAATTTTCAAATCATAGTGGCTATAAAAAAATAAAGTACTTTATTTTTACCAAACAATATCATAAAAGCGCGAAAAATAGAAAAAAGATGATGAAAAAAATACTTCAATTTTTGTGCATTTTTTTCCATTTTCACTACGCCTCATTGCAATGTTATTGTGGCACCCTGTATTTCTGTATTTTGATAGTGAGTTATGTTTATGTCAATTTGTTGTCATTATTGAAACTTGCATTAGTCCAACATCTGGTGACCCCGAAAGAACATGGTTCTACTTATACAAAATATCAAAAAAGAGCAACTGCTCAATGACCTGCAACATTTCAAGTTACCTTCTGGTGGAACGGTATCCGATATGAAACTAACTCTGGAAGGTTTCATAAGAGAAAAGTATCCAGATTTGAAGAATCCAAATGATTTCGATTATTCCGACATACTCGAAGAAATAGAGCAGAATACAAACCATGATAAGGATAATATAGATCGTGAAATGTCGCTCTTGTCAACGAAAGACAACAAATTGACATAACAGTAATGTGGCACCCTGTATTTGTGTATTTTGATAGTGAGTTATATTATGTCAATTAGTTGTCATTATTAAAAAGTAGAATTGAAACTTGACTTAGTCCAACATTATGCATAATATCTGAGATGTAACAATATTTTTAAATTGCTTTTACTCGATGATAACACATCTGATCGTCACGGAACAAGAGTACCTTTTTTCTGTAAAAAGGTGAGAAATTTCATAATCCAGGATTCAATTGTCGAAAAATATGCATACAAACAATTCAGAGCAATATTTTAGGTAGTCCCACCCTGTATTATACACTCCTGATTGAAATTTTGAAATGATTGCATCTTCGATGCTTTGGGCATGGAAAGTTTAGTTCTTGTACCAAATTGCATCTTCTTATCACATGGAGTTTCGGAAATACTCATGAAATATCATCTTCAGGAGCCCCCCTTCTTTCTATTTTTGGTCGTAAAAGCCGCTGGTGAAGTTTGGCAGGCTAATTTCGGGACACCCTGTATATCCATTATATATTTTTTGTTCGTTTCCAGCTTCCCGCTTTTCACCAAAGGCAAAGACAAGGCGCACTTCACGTACGCCGTCTACTTGCTCAACAAGAACCTGGCTCAGTTCCGGTGGCTGCTCTACATGAACACCACCGATCTGCGCCAGACCCTTTACAACCTTTTGACGTTCCTGGAGGGCCCCCGCGAGACGTCTTCGGCTGCTTCTGATAGGCCGAAGGGCGGGTCGGAAAGGGACGCGAGGTTGCACGATTTCTCCTCCGTGTCGAATCTGTCAGATCCTATTCTAGGTAAAAAGGCTTCAAAAGAATCACGATTTTTCTTATATAATCTAAAAATATGGAAGAGTTTGCCGTATTTTTTTTAAAGCTCTTATTTAAGGAGGGGTTTACCGCTACCACCGATCCAACAAGGCCAGCAGACTCTGACGTAAACAGCTCGTGACGTCGCCAAGAGAGGCCAGTGTTTTATTTTATCGCTTGTCGAATAACGCGTCAGTTCGTGTTAATTCATCGGTGATTCACGTATGTTTTTGAAACGGTCCCGAATTCTTTTATTGTATATTCATCAAAATAATTGGCGGAAAAATTACTGTTTCGTGAAATATTTTGTGTTGTGATCGGCGAAATAACAATGCCTTTCAAGTGTTGTGTTCCCTTTTGTCGGGGGAATTATGTGGGTGGTTCAAAAGTTCATGCTTTTAGTTTCCCGTTGGACGAGGAGCTATCGAAAATATGGGTATGCATAATCTCTGGTAGATGCAATTCACCGCGAGGATTTTACTCCATCTAAGTTCAGTAGTAAACAGAGCTTAATTTATAATGATGAATTAATAATAGAAGACAATTACTCTCTCATAAAAAGTATAAGTAGAAGAAAAATAGAAAAGCTTTGATTGTGCAGTTAGTATTGTATTCGTATATTATAGTCAACAAAATCATCTCTGAATTCGAGGAAATTTTTTTGAATGTTCATAATAAACGGGCATTTTTAATTCTCATTCTCAAATTTCTTTCTGAAAACGGTCATTTGCCTCGTGGCAATGAATGCAGAATTCATTCCAATGATCAAATTGCAACTATCATATTAACATGAACTACAAACACTCTACTCAAAAAAGGTAAAACTGCATTTATCATGAAGATATTTGACTGAAAAGTTCCAAATTTCACCTTCTTTTTCACCTGTCTTCTGGATGGCATTTAGAACAAATTTCCGTCCTTTTTTCATCATATTGGACAATTTATATATAATTCAACTATAAATATGATTTTCTTGAGATTAATCCATATTTAGTGAAAAGAAGGAAGAATATCATTCAAAATAATGGCGTGTGTAATGTCATTCGAAAGCAATCTATTGACATTTGACATCTCGTATTTTGATTGACTATTGATTAAATGGTCGTCATCTGGAATGCTTGTTCACTAAATATGAAAAACTCGCCATAAAAATCATATTTCCTGTTGAATTTTTTATATAAAAATGTGCCATCGAAGTACATCATGAGTATATAAAGTGTCCAATGACAAAATAAGAGCAAGTAGCTTCAAATGCCCCCAACACAAGGGGAGAAAGAAGGCGAAATTTCGAACTTTTTCTTGAAATATCTCAATAAATAGTGGTTTGTTCACATTTTCATTATAAAATTCGGTTTATCAGACAAAAATACGTGAGTACCGAAAAAAATTTAAAAAAAAAAAACATCGCATGATAAATGCAGTTTTACCCTTGAAAATTACGGTTTCAAGTGTAACGATCCACTTGGGTGAAAAATCCAACAGCAGAAAATTGAAAACACTCACTGGTTATTTTTTCAGGTAATAGGAATTCTCCAAGATAAATATAGGTAATTGTAACAAACGGCATGTCAATCAAAATAAAATACATTTTCCACAATTCTCTTTCGATCAATCTCACGATAAGTTTATGTTCTGCGGGCCCTGTATAAGTAGGTGTGAAGTTTACCTTCACCACAATTTTTGCCAATATATTTAATTCGAATGGGTTACTGTAGGTGGATATTTGTGTATTATCCTGGTTTTTGCTTTAAAACTTCGTTTTTCCATAATAAAATCGAATGGGGTGCGAAGAAGGGCTCAGTTGACGACTGGCATCCTTTTTTAACCGGAAACCCTTCAAAAAACAGCAAAATCGGCTCAATGATGATCTAAAACTAAAATCGAAATACGCGGTGGTCGCCTTATAGCGCTATAAGCGCTTGTCGTTTCGAGCCGCTGGTTAGGCCTCACTAAGTGACGTCACCCACGGAGCATGCAGGCCTTGTTGTATCGGTGGTAACGGGTTTACCCTCTGAAAAAGGTCAAACCAAATCTAAGGTGTAAAGGGGGAAGTAAAAATCCTGTCCGAAGGAGGCGGGGCCCGATAACGAAGGAAGTCGTCTAGTGTCTCACTCCAACTCATTCTAGCGTAAAATATTTCAACATTTATAGTAAAAGCGGCTTTGAGTGTTGAATTCTCCGAATAAGTCCCACAGGCACAGCTTACGAGTTGTGCTTTAGGCAATATACATCAGTATTACAGTATTCCGTAAAAATATGTATAGGCCGAAATGGAATATGAGTATAGAGTAATAAAATTAAAATTGTTTTCAACATTATGATGGATATTTCGCATGATAATAATATTAAGCCGGATGCTAGTACAGGTACATACCCAGTGTTCATTTGAAAATTTTCCAACCGCCATGAGTGGAGTAGAGTAGAGTAGAGTAGTTTATTTGACCATGTTATGTAAATTACATGTACGGCAAGTCATAATTACAATAGCCGTAGTGCTTGAAAATAAAGATAATATTCACCATCAATCGCTAAAGTGAAGAAATAGATGAATTATATTACAAGAATACATGATTAAAAATACATGATAAGTATGTTAAAGATGGAACATCAAATGATCTGAATAAAATATTATTGCGCTTTTTGCAATTTTCAGAAATTTTTCTAATTTTCAGGAATTTTTGCATTTTTACCTCGATTTTTACTATCTGCAATTTTCAGGAATACTTGCGATTTTTGCAATTTTCAGTAATTTTCGCTATTTTCAGGAATTATAGCAATTTTTGCAATTTTCAGGAATTTTTGCAAATTCAGGCATATTTGCGATTTTTGCAATTTTCAGGAAATTTTTGCAATTTTTGCTATTTCTGCAATTTTCAGGCATTTTTGCGATTTTTACAATTTTCAGGAATTTTTGCAATTTTCAGGAATTTTTGCAATTTTTGCTATTTCTGCAATTTTCAGGCATTTTTGCAATTTTCAGGAATTTTTGCAATTTTTGCTATTTTTGCAATTTTCAGGCATTTTTGCGATTTTCAGCAATTTTTGCGATTTTTGCAATTTTCAGGCATTTTTGCGATTTTTGCAATTTTCAGTAATTTTTGTAATTTTCAGGAATTTTTGCAATTTTCAGAAATTTTTGCAATTTTTGCTATTTCTGCAATTTTCAGGCATTTTTGCGATTTTCACAATTTTCAGGAATTTTTGCGATTTTTGCAATTTTCAGGAATTTTTGCTATTTCTGCAATTTTCAGGAATTTTTGCAATTTTCAGGCATTTTTGCGATTTTTGCAATTTTCAGGAATTTTTGCGATTTTTGCAATTTTCAGGAATTTTTGCGATTTTCGCAATTTTCAGGCATTTTTGCGATTTTCGCAATTTTCAGGAATTTTTGCGATTTTTGCAATTTTCAGGCATTTTTGCGATTTTTGCAATTTTCAGGAATTTTTGCGATTTTCGCAATTTTCAGGTATTTTTGCGATTTTTGCAATTTTCAGGCATTTTTGCGATTTTTGCAATTTTCAGGAATTTCTGCAATTTTCAGGAATTTTTGCAATTTTCAGGAAATTTTTGCAATTTTTGCTATTTCTGCAATTTTCAGGCATTTTTGCGATTTTTGCAATTTTCAGGAATTTTTGCAATTTTCAGGAATTTTGCAATTTTTGCTATTTCTGCAATTTTCAGGCATTTTTGCAATTTTCAGGAATTTTTGCAATTTTTGCTATTTTTGCAATTTTCAGGAATTTTTGCGATTTTCAGCAATTTTTGCGATTCTTGCAATTTTCAGGCATTTTTGCGATTTTTGCAATTTTCAGTAATTTTTGTAATTTTCAGGAATTTTGCAATTTCAGAAATTTTTGCAATTTTTGCTATTTCTGCAATTTTCAGGCATTTTTGCGATTTTCACAATTTTCAGGAATTTTTGCGATTTTTGCAATTTTCAGGAATTTTTGCTATTTTCTGCAATTTTCAGGAATTTTTGCAATTTTCAGGCATTTTTGCGATTTTTGCAATTTTCAGGAATTTTTGCGATTTTTGCAATTTTCAGGAATTTTTGCGATTTTCGCAATTTTCAGGCATTTTTGCGATTTTCGCAATTTTCAGGAATTTTTGCGATTTTTGCAATTTACAGGCATTTTTGCGATTTTTGCAATTTTCAGGAATTTTTGCGATTTTTTCAATTTTCAGGCATTTTTGCGATTT